GTTGGCGAAAGAAAAAACATTGAACGTTGAAAGGAACCTAGTCAGAGTTCTACAAATGTGTGTGAAAGAGGTTTCTGAGCAAAGTTCAGAGGTTTGAGATGTCACCTTGTAGACTCGGTGTAATCGTATGTTTGCACATCGAGGTGTACTTTGAAAAGCAGTTCAACCGTTGGAGGCAGTTCTTGATCTTGCCCACCTGTTGCAAACCGTAGACTAGCTAGTGGTGAAACGTTGGCACTTGTTTTAGAGTAAACGTTTTCGGTAAAAGATCTTGTCACCTGTTACCTGTCATCCCGCTAATCGTCGATTTTCTCTTGAGGGCGCCAGTAAAGTCTTCATTCGTCCCTGTCGCGAGCCAGAGTAGTCCAGTGAATCGTACTCGCTCGATGGACCGTGGCAAAACATTCCTTTCAGTCAGAGCTTTCGTAAAGAAGTCTGACCATCGGGCCGGCGCTCGCCTCGGTGTTCGTTTGACGTCCTGAGGGATCCAATCCGTAACCGCCCTGGTCCAACGGTCATCACTATATCGCATGACGTGCCAGCCCCATCTGATTTTCAATTTCTTCGATCACGCGATATAGTGATAAAAGCTCCTACTATATATAAACCACTAGTGTGTTTCCTGGTTTGTCTATGGGTGTGTCTGACCGGGTATGCATTACTCATGTCCCTGGACCTAAAAGAGCAAGAGCCAAGTACCTATTGAAGTCCTAGCGCTGCCAGTTCTTACGATGTAGATTTGGCTCTTTACTATGTTTCAGGATGATAGAATAGGGTGACAAAAAATGAGTGGTGAATGCAGTGATTGGGACCTATTAGAAGCATTAGGATAAGGAGATGAAAGCTTTCTTCGATTTCCTGCTACTTGATCACGACCGCTACCCTGTCGTGTTCATGATTTGGTGAAGGGTCACAGTTTCTCTTTGATTCGATATCTTTTCCGGTTTTGATACGAAGCTTATCCGACCGCCGAAACGTCAGCCTTATAAAGCTTTCATACAAATCTCGTGAAGAGTTGAAGAAAACAATTCAGTAATAAAGCAGTTATGCCGAGGTTCCGTACGTGGAACTCAGTTAAGTGAATGCTCCCAAAGTGGGCGCAAGAAAGGTTTTCGGCAAATGCGTTGCCGAGACATTAGGCCGTACGATTGTGGTGCATGGGAAATGCAATCGTCCCTTTTTTCAAAGACATTCTTGGTCTTTCCCGTGGGAGCCCTCACCAAGTGAAGATTGCCAAAAATTGAGTGGTTTGACTGTATGACTTGTGAACCTGTATCATTACCGATTGGGATCTCCTTACAGAAATAAAAATGTATGAACTGCGCCGTATGGGCAAAGAGTGCTCCTTCGGGGAATTGCCTATCCTCTGATGAGGGTGCAGTCAAAAAAGGAATTATTGGTTGGCCCAGTGCACCACGTGGGCACAGATTTAAGAATTACAATTTTTTGTTTTTTTTAATCAAATAAGAAAGGGTAGGAAAGTTTGCATTCCAATTCTTTGTGAAACTTGATTTCCTACACAAGTCAACCATGCTCATATTACGGCCACTTTGTTTTCATGCCCAAATTTGAGGGCACAGATCGCGAGAAGGTTGGATTTGCAGATTTCTAACCCTGAAGATTCATGGCTTTTGAGACCGTGGTGGTATATGTCGGACCAATGGCGCAGATAGACAGGGCGCAGTTTGGGCTCAAAAACCAGCCCTAGCGCCCCTCCGCTCAATACTACCAAGAAAGGACGTGTTTCGTGGGTTTGTAGAGGCTGATATCATTCAAAATGGAGCACGTTAACTGTAAAAACAGTAATCTATTGTACGTCAGTGACTAGAACACATTGCTTTACAGCAACTGAAATCTCGTCCAAACACAACCTTTGTTATCAAAACCACTTCTAATCGGAGGAATGCCTGCTCAAGAACGCTTTATAACTCGGGATTACTCAAAATTCCCTGTTTTCTTCGCCACCGACGAATTTGCAATATAAATTTACAGGTAATCATATTTAAATGAGTCATTTGATGTCGATTACCAGAAAAAATCTTCGTCTAGAGTTTGCATGACTCACGAGCTGCGGCCTTTTAGGAAATCATCTTCGAACTTGTCAACTTTGTATCTTTCTTGAACCCCATCGGTATTGGTCTTTGAGACCAACAGTAACGGTGGTGTTTGACGAAGTGCAAGCATTGCAGCAACCACCAGCATGGAGGGATGAGGGATCGTCATGGATCCAACATGAATCGAAACCCAACTGGGTCTTTTGAGACTGCAAAGATGCATTAGGCTTCTTGAAAACTTCGTTCGTGAACCCTCATTCCCCGAGGGTTCCCAAAAATTCGACCCGGGTCTTGAAGAAGGCCCTTCATGCCAAAATATCGCACCGAATAGACGGTCTTACTCGGCGGGAGTATTACCGTTGAATCTTACAAGTGACGGGTTTACATTCTAGTGAAATGCATAATCATAGATACGCAGACGAAACGAGAAATCGTAGCCGACTATAAATTGGTGCAACTGGGATTCTCGTTAAATTATCATTCACCCTCAACAATTCACAACTGAATCTTACAAGCTATCGCTGTACAGCATGAAGCAGTATTACTAAGCGAAACGTGTACAAAATATAGATATCGATCGGACGGGAATAGTTGTTTAATTCGGGTAATGACGGACAAGTAGGATCCTCTTAAAAGCGATAGAAAGGCTAACTTCTTTCACGAAAAAGAATTTAGCTTTGGCTATAGTCTACGTCACCAGCGGAGTTGCTGCACTTTGAATGGATATTGATTGAAGCGCGGGCGGATCTGCAGCTGCGGCTAAGTACGAGAATCGATTTAGCGGTGAAAGTATGCTCGGATGAACAACCGAATGAAATCCTCATTTGTTTACCATGTTTATCAGAATTATAAAAAAGAGAAATTGAGTAGGTTTCAAGTCATTTCCTATGCTTGTCCGTTCAATGTGTGGTCGCAGATGAAAGGCTGCCTGCAGATCCTATTTGAATACTCACCATATTACATACCTGTTTTGTTCGTCATACTATTACAAGTAAGCAAGTGGTTTTGCCCCCCCTCATCTCCTCGCAATTCCAGTGATTACATCGAAAATGGGTGTTTTCAGAGTCTGTTACTATGTAAGAGACAATCTCGGTCAAAAGATGTGGTCACCCCTGTCACGGCCACCACACAGCAATCTTTTAAAGAGGTGAGTTCGGCTATGGTATACGTGCGCGAGCGAGACTATGTGCTTTGAATGGGTATCGATTCGGGCGCGGGCAGGCCAATCGATTTAGCAGGGAGAAGTGGGAGATTTTGTGATGCCATAACCTTTCTATCGCTCCATATAATGCTTTTTTTAAAGATTGTACGCATTTGTACGAAAGCGAAACCTACGATTTTCAGGTCCCACCAAAAGAAAAGGGTGAGTCGAAAAGGAAAGTATTGCCTATCTGGGTAAGAACTCTTCGAGAACACAAACATTGAGGGATATCGAGAAGATATACGATCCTTAGACCGGGATATACGATATTATCACATTTGCCACACAACTTCTTATTGAGTGGGGGCCAAGTTAAATTCTAGTGGCAGTAGAGGCGTAGAAAAGATAGGTTCGATTGGAGTGTGTAAGGGAGCTGGAGCATGCTAGAGGCCAGGGAGGCTAGCATGCACAAAGGATGGATATTGATTGAAAGCGACGTTCTACGTGACTTGAACTGTTCTGAGGGCTTGCTTAACTGACATAAACCTATTTCCCAAATCGACTCTCCTCAGGAAGGCCCCTTTCATATCTCTGCCATAACATCACCTCGGGGTGAATATTGATTAGATGCTCTTCTAACCACACCTAATCAATATCTATTGCTTACGAAAACATTTCGCCAGAACGGTCATTTTTTCGCGTTACCGCGCGTGATAGGCCATTTCTAGTGTGGGATCATTTCGGTTAGGCTAAGTTACAATTCGGAAAAAGAGTTCCACTAACGGGGAGACGCTCTGGCCGAACTCGCACTCGCTAACAGTGAAGGCATCGAATGTACTGGACGGTGGGGAAAGATGATAAGGATGTGTTATAAGTAGGAATCGATTGAAAATAAGCAGTTGATCTAAAAACCGAAAGGATTCGCGTAATTCATTCAGAAAAAGCTTTTAAATTCAGCAGAACCCTCGTGTAGCAGTCCCGGTGAGAATCTGTCAAATGAGAAACCAAAACCGTCTCCTCGTGGGCTCAAAGACTCCCGAGAGAAGCTTTCGGAGGACACAACAACAGGTTTCAATGAAATCATAACCACAGCCAAAACTCAAGTTGGCAGTAAGGAGTTCTACAGAAGGAGACCTCCCAGACAGCCAGACGATGATGTGGACACAGAAACTACCATTTATGAGCGTCGTTCGAAAAATCGAGCCGATTCCATCCGTACAAAATTAACCAAATCACGTCTTACAGAAGATGCTATATTGGCCTTGGAACGGACCCAAATGGTGGGGGACAGAGACGAGCCTACATCTCCTAGGCGAGAGAAAACCGAGACGATGGTACTTGGGGAATGGATTGAGGAGCAGGAAACACAAGAGAAGAAGAAGGAGAGGAGACGAAATGGAAGCAGCCCATCCAACTCCACTCAATGCAGTTCAGTACGACAGCTAAGGAACTCATCGTTTGATACCCTTCTGGCAGCGCCTACAGCCTCTGATGCAGCATTGTCACCCAAGAAAGGTATAATAGTATCGCCCAGGAAGGAAATATCGACATCCAAGAGAGAATCGCGGAGCAGGACGTCAAAGGAGGTAAGCGCAATGAAGGAAGATATTTTGCTGCAATGTGGGTCGGGCGTCTCTGACGATCTAGCGATAAGTCCCAGTCCCTCATGGCGCGACATAGTCCTCAGTGGTCATGGAGGTTATTCACCCAATAGTATTGGGCTAACGAACGGACTTTCGCTCATGAATAAGTGACAGCCTTTTCATTGGGCTCGAATATCGACAGAAAAGAGACCGAAGGTCAACATCGATGCGTACACACATAGCCGCATACATACATACGTATACTTACATATGTACATGCGTACACATACATAGATAGACGTACACACATGCACATAGGCACTCAAACACACATGCATTTACACATATACATGTACAAGCATGCAGATATATGTACATACACATACACACACAAACGTACACACATATACACATACACACAAAAAAGTACACACCTCTACGCATATGCACCATACAGGAGCATTGTCGTGATAAGGTGCCTTCTGCTGTTCGCATCGGCGTTGCCGCACCCCGGTCACGGCAGAACGTGGGACTTTGGACACATCCTGAGGGGAGGCGTGGTGCCGGG